CGTGGCTGACTCTTAACTTTTATAAAGAATATCTCTTTGGATTTGAGACTTTAGTCTTTGCAACTTTACAGATCTTCTTTATGCACCAAGAGCTTGTAACACTCCAAAGAGAAAGGAAAAATTTAAATCGCATCATATGACCCCTTTAATTTCAAATTAAATGTATTTATAGAAATATAATTTATATATTTTTTTAATAATTACATTTGAGATATTTTTATAATACAATTTTTTTAAATTAAATTAAAATATGATCTAATTGATTATAAACTGTTTTCCCCAACAAAATAGGATCTTTATTCTCTTACCACAGAGTGTCTCCCTGAACTTAGATGTTAGTTTCTCGATCACTCCGTATGTCTCCACATAGAACACATGGTCATCCAGAGGCTGACTGGCCATCTGTTTGAGAGACCGCATATCTGCTCTGTCCACTCCGACAGCATATATTTCAATTCCAGAAGCCCTTGCTGCTGCTGCCACCTCTTCAACTTTATCTTGCGGCCTTCCATCAGTCACAATGATGGCCACCTTACCGATGTTCTTTTTTAGTGGCCGGGCCCCAGCGCTCTCTGTAAAAACCTGCTCCATGGCGGTTTTGATAGCCAGGCCAGTCATAGTTCCTGTTGAGAGTGGATCAATACGGGAGAAGGCCTGCTTGACCTCAGCCTTACTGAAGTACTTTTTCAGAAGGAACTCAATGTTGACGGTGCTGGCGTAGTTGACCAGGGCGACTCGTGTGGCATCGGATCCGATATCAAGAGAATCAACCATTTCAGAGAGGAAGATTTTGACCTTTTCGAACTCTGCAGGACGGACGCTACGAGAACTGTCGATGATAAAAACCAGGTCTAGAGGACGACTCTTGCAGAGCTCTGCTGGAGCTGTAAGACATAAATAATTCATTGAAAATTAGTGTCACATTATCATTAAAATGATTAAAAAGTGCAAAGTGTGATGCTGAAAGAGATTAATATGTAAAAAAAAGTGTTTGTTTATGAAAAAAGAGGCTCCTCAGTTAGCAGTGCAGAGCTGTGACTAAAAAAAAGAAAGAAACCGAGTCAGTTAATCCCATTTGTGCTAAACAATTGCATTTCTGTAGACAATAAGCTTGGCATTAGCAAAAATGGCCTCATTAATGCTATTTGTCCTGCTTGTTTAATGCTAAATGGCCAGAGGTATAACAATATTTTGTGTCACAATATATCGCAATACAAAAGCGCAACAATATGTATGATGGATAGTGACAATATTGTGTATAATAAAGAAAAATTACGGAATAGAAGACTCACATTCTGACGGCACCCATTCACTGCGGTGGATCCATTGGTGAGCAAGTAATGTAATGCTAAATTTCTCCCAATATGTGACCCTGGACCACAAGGTCATAAGGGTAAATTTTTCGAAAATTAGATTAAATAAGCTTTCCATTGATGTATGGTTTGTTAGGATAGGACAATATTTGACTGAGATACAACTATTTGAAAATCTGGAATCTGAGGGTGCAAAAAAATCTAAATATTGAGAAAATCACCTTTAAAGTTGTCCAAATTAAGTTCTTAGCAATGCATATTACTAATCAAAAATTTATGATTTCTCCTTGAAAAGAGAGAGAGAAAGAAAAAAAGAGAACGATTATTAAGAGGGACTTAAGAGGACCAGACTGGTCGTCTGCACCCGGTGGGGTGGGATTGGTCTACCTGGGTCAGTGGAAGGTTCGGCAGGGGCAGGTGTGCCATGAGGGGTACTGACCGGCTCTGGAGTGGTTGTCGTGGTTGTTGTGATTGCTGTGGTTGTAGTGGTTGTAGTCTGTGTTGGAGGTGGCGGGGGTAGGGTGGCTACCTTGGTGAGTGGCATGGGCACTGTAGGGACAGGTATCACCACCGGAATTTTGGGAGGTGTGGGCACAACTGACCAGACAGGATGGACAGGTGAGATGGGCCGGACAGGTAAGGCAGGATGGTGGTAGATAAAGGGAGGCCTTTTCCAGGGCGGCCGCTGGTGATGGTGCTGATGAGGGTTGCGATGATGATAGCTGTAAAACCTGTGATTAAAGCCATGAGCTTTGTTTGGTTATAGAGAGAGAGAGAAAGAGAGGGTAAACAGAAACATAGAAATACAAAGACAGAAAGAGAGGAAAAATGCCAAGAATCCATAGACAGATGAAAAGGAAAAAACAAAGGAGAAAGACAAGGTGGGAGCATGAAAAAGAAATTTAGAACAAGAAAAGGAGGGAGAGAAGCATTCAAGTAAGCCATTACTCGATTGGTTTAAAGCAATATTATATTGATGTGGGTTTAAGGTGACACTTTTTGGTTGTTAGCAAAAGCATGATGAGCTAAAGGTCTCCATTTTCAAGCAGTGAGGCAAAGTCAGTTGCCTGTTCAGAGGTTCTCTGTCAATGACTGCAACATTTAACATGTCAACCTGAAGGAAAAACATGTTGTAGCCCCAGATCCACTTCTCATAAAAAAATTAAAATAAAAGATAATTTAGGGGACAGAAGTATATAGCATTGCTACATTAATGATTTCAGTTAAAAGATATGACACAAATTTCCTTTAAAAAAGGAAAAATTAAATGTAGTACAATTTTGAAAGATATGTTTTAAAGCTCACAAATCATGTAGAGCCTTCATTTTGCGAATGTGTGGTCCAGGGTCACATATGTTCAGTTGAAAAAACAAACTCATCTACATCTTGGATGGTCTGAGGATGAGTAATTTTTAGCAAATTTTGAACTATTCCTTTAACTGTTTATCATACGTCTTAGAAGTAATAATTAAAAACTGTAAAATTTGATCTGATTGTGATACTACAAGTATTGAGAGAGCATCGTATTGTAAAATCAGTATTGTGTATCAAACCGAATTGTGGCATGAATATATTGTTAGACCCCTATAAATGACAATTCAGTTTTTTATGATTTCTCCTTGAAAAGAGAGAGAGAAAGAAAAAAAGAGAACGATTATTAAGAGGGACTTAAGAGGACCAGACTGGTCGTCTGCACCCGGTGGGGTGGGATTGGTCTACCTGGGTCAGTGGAAGGTTCGGCAGGGGCAGGTGTGCCATGAGGGGTACTGACAGTTGCCTGTTCAGAGGTTCTCTGTGAATGACTGCAACATTTAACATGTCAACCTGAAGGAAAAACATGTTGTAGCCCCAGATCCACTTCTCATAAAAAAAATAAAAATAAAAGAGAAGATAATTTAGGGGACAGAAGTATATAGCATTGCTACATTAATGATTTCAGTTAAAAGATATGACACAAATTTCCTTTAAAAAAGGAAAAATTAAATGTAGTACAATTTTGAAAGATATGTTTTAAAGCTCACAAATCATGTAGAGCCTTCATTTTGCGAATGTAATATAAATAAGTAACAAAAATAAGATTTGTAATGAACAATAGAAAAAACGATTTTTATGCTTTAATTATTCCTGTAATGTAGAAGCTACTAGAACCACTGCTCCCGAGGTTTTAGAAGTCTAACGGTTATGATCCATCACTAAGCACTTGTTGAGAAAGACAAAAAAACTGCTAATAATAAGCCTACTGTAAAATAGAAAGTCCAGCTGTTTGTAGATTACATAATTTTACGGGACTATAGGCTAGGTTAGTTTTTGTTCCTGAAGAGCACTAATGCCATTTTAAAAACAAACAAAAAGACCTTCTGTATTTCACTCAAGTAGTTTAAAAAAAATAATAATACTCAGTGTTAACATATTTTAAATATTCATTTCAATCAAGGCTTGAAAAGAATTACAAGTGTAGATTTCACATGATTTTAATAATAATAATAATAATAATAATAATAAAGTTACAAATAACCGTATAAAAAAATAAATTAATAATAATAATAAAAAAGTATTACCTCCAAAGTTGATGGAGTTGCCGTGTCCAGGACCAGGCATATTGGGGGTGAAGTGAGATCTCTGCCGGTCTCCGTAGAGCTGGTTATGGTTCCGTAAGTAAGGGCCATACGTACCCTGCGCCTCCATTAAAAATGCAGACAAACAAAAGACAGAAATGCAAATAAAGCATGTCATGCTGATGAAGATGGATGCAGGAATCTCTGTTCTTGTGTTTATTCCGACCCAGTTGCCTGTTCAGAGGTTCTCTGTCAATGACTGCAACATTTAACATGTCAACCTGAAGGAAAAACATGTTGTAGCCCCAGATCCACTTCTCATAAAAAAATTAAAATAAAAGATAATTTAGGGGACAGAAGTATATAGCATTGCTACATTAATGATTTCAGTTAAAAGATATGACACAAATTTCCTTTAAAAAAGGAAAAATTAAATGTAGTACAATTTTGAAAGATATGTTTTAAAGCTCACAAATCGGTTCGGCAGGGGCAGGTGTGCCATGAGGGGTACTGACCGGCTCTGGAGTGGTTGTCGTGGTTGTTGTGATTGCTGTGGTTGTAGTGGTTGTAGTCTGTGTTGGGGGTAGCCCCAGATCCACTTCTCATAAAAAAAATAAAAATAAAAGAGAAGATAATTTAGGGGACAGAAGTATATAGCATTGCTACATTAATGATTTCAGTTAAAAGATATGACACAAATTTCCTTTAAAAAAGGAAAAATTAAATGTAGTACAATTTTGAAAGATATGTTTTAAAGCTCACAAATCATGTAGAGCCTTCATTTTGCGAATGTAATATAAATAAGTAACAAAAATAAGATTTGTAATGAACAATAGAAAAAACGATTTTTATGCTTTAATTATTCCTGTAATGTAGAAGCTACTAGAACCACTGCTCCCGAGGTTTTAGAAGTCTAAAGGTTATGATCCATCACTAAGCACTTGTTGAGAAAGACAAAAAAACTGCTAATAATAAGCCTACTGTAAAATAGAAAGTCCAGCTGTTTGTAGATTACATAATTTTACGGGACTATAGGCTAGGTTAGTTTTTGTTCCTGAAGAGCACTAATGCCATTTTAAAAACAAACAAAAAGACCTTCTGTATTTCACTCAAGTAGTTTAAAAAAAATAATAATACTCAGTGTTAACATATTTTAAATATTCATTTCAATCAAGGCTTGAAAAGAATTACAAGTGTAGATTTCACATGATTTTAATAATAATAATAATAATAATAATAATAAAGTTACAAATAACCGTATAAAAAAATAAATTAATAATAATAATAAAAAAGTATTACCTCCAAAGTTGATGGAGTTGCCGTGTCCAGGACCAGGCATATTGGGGGTGAAGTGAGATCTCTGCCGGTCTCCGTAGAGCTGGTTATGGTTCCGTAAGTAAGGGCCATACGTACCCTGCGCCTCCATTAAAAATGCAGACAAACAAAAGACAGAAGGCTTGAAAAGAATTATAGTGTAGATTTCACATGATTTTAATAATAATAATAATAATAATAATAATAAAGTTACAAATAACCGTATAAAAAAATAAATTAATAATAATAATAAAAAAGTATTACCTCCAAAGTTGATGGAGTTGCCGTGTCCAGGACCAGGCATATTGGGGGTGAAGTGAGATCTCTGCCGGTCTCCGTAGAGCTGGTTATGGTTCCGTAAGTAAGGGCCATACGTACCCTGCGCCTCCATTAAAAATGCAGACAAACAAAAGACAGAAATGCAAATAAAGCATGTCATGCTGATGAAGATGGATGCAGGAATCTCTGTTCTTGTGTTTATTCCGACCCACTGTGAGAGTTTCGACAGGAGGAGGCGCTCACATGATGTTTTAAAGCCGCTGGCCCCCAGACGTCCAACGCGAGCCACCAATCCAGAGAAACAAGTGCGTTTGACTGGGCGGGCGTTTAGTCTTCTACAGATGTAGTGCAGAATACCACTAGAACTGCAATGCATAGATAGTAGCCTACACAGTGCCCAAAACATTCTGGAAATTCTGGGGAAAATAGTCATGTTTATTAGCTTATATATAATCAACTTTATGATATCTCTAAAACCCTAATGATAAAATATAATTAAATATATATTATAACGCAGAAACATAATTCTGCATTTTGTATAATAATTCATCCCGACTCTAGAGGGCGCTGTAAAATTGCACTACTACAGCAGCAGCAGCTGCGACTGCTGGTTTGTTTTTACTGTGCTCGTTGTTCAGCTCGAGATTAGAGGCAAGGGGAGATCTCTCAACTCAGTTAGGTAACATTATCTTTTTAAGTCGTTGTTAAACAAACAAGTGTTGTTTTTGCATTTGTTGATGGTGAAGCATCCTGAAGTTTTACCGTGAGCAGTGGTTTGTGGTACAAAACACATTATGAGTTGCTATGCAAATTCGGATGATATTATCGTCATGAGAATATGTCAGATTTTCACAAATTATATCATGCTTTTCCTTATGTCTGTACTTAAATAGCATTTACATTTCCCTCCTCAAATCAGTTATTTGGAAAAGGATACACACTGTTGGTTTAGAATATTTCCAGAGCATTTAGAGCTGAATCTAGGCACTTTGAAGAATGTAAAGTGTGCATGCATGTTACCTCTTTTCTCTGATCTTTTTCTCTTGTGTCTTGTGTTCAGTATGCAGAGTCTGTCAGTGCAGGCGCTGGCCCTGCGGCAGCTAGGCCGACTGAACTCCCTGCAGCTGCTCACACCGTGCCATGCCTCTGGTCTCAGCATGTGGTGCCCACGAACATTACACGCGCGTCAGTTGTGGGGTTCAGGCACACCCCAGACACACCGGACAGCTATGTGGCCGAAATCATGGGACACTCGGCAGAGCTGGTTGCGCCATCAGACCCGGCTCAAGAGCATGAGAAAGAAGGGGAAGCAAAAAGCAGTGCAGCGGGAAGAGGAGGAGGAGGAGGAGGAGGAACAGGAAGATGCAGAGGCTAGTGATTATGAGGATGAGCTTCCAGATGACCCAGGCCTGCCAAAAGACTATAAAGACCACGAGAAAACTGTCCAGTCTCTACGTTTCGATCTGGTTTTGAAGACCGGATTGGACATTGCACGAAAGTAAGTCGGAGAAACTGTCAATCATGTTCAGTGATTAATTCTGCCTGCCACACTGGTGAGTTCCAAACTAGTGTTTTCAGTTCCATTTGCAGATGTAACTCCTAGTTTTTACCTCATAGAACCCGATCAGAGAATGGACTGATGACGTTCGTATTTAATCTGTGCTCATATTGCTCTCCTTGTACATTTAGTTTGTGGTGTTTTGGCCAGTGGCAGTTACTAACACATGTATCTCATTTACAGTGGTGTGGAGGATGCTTTCTATAACCTCAAATTGAGACTGAATGGTCAGAAACTCACCAAGAAGAGCAAAATGGTGAGTCAGCACCCTCTATTGGAATAATCAGAAAGAACTTACCTCAAAAATATCTAAGACTAGCTGAAAAAATTATGGATGTAATAAAAAAAAAAAAACCTACTCTGCTTGTGGTAGTCTTCCCAATACTGAATTAATCTGAGTACTGATTAGTATAAGCACCTTAATTTAACATTAAATTTTGCCTCCTACAGGTTAAAGTGGGGGATACACTGGATCTGATCCTAAGTGAGGACAAGGAAATGGACACAGTCTTGCTGAAGAGAGTGATTTTAAAAAAGGTGGTCGGAGAGACAAAAGATGCAGAAAAGCAGAGAGTCATTCTAAGAACCTGGAAACACCTACAACTTCCCAGAAAGGATGTGCACAAGCAGTAAAGACTAATTCTGTGATGTGTTTGAGGTGAAATATCAGAAAATAGGACAAAACTGCTATTTCTTATTTCACTTCCCAACCATTTGATTCTGAAACTGCAGATTGAGAATTTAATGATGTTTTCTATGCCCAACAAAAACTGAAGGTCTTTCTCACATCTATTCACTTAACAGTACTTCTCATAACTGTTTCATACTACTTAAAGGTATGTTTTTTAACTTTACAGGTCACAAATGGAACACAAACGCATCCTATTATTTAGCGGTGGTTTTGGTTATATGCATTTTAAATGTTTTTCTAATATTTACTAGATTCACAAAATAACATTGTGGGATGAATCAGATAGTGTTTGGGATATTGGTTGTTTTCTGATCCCTTGTTTCTGATACCTTATTTAGTTTTCACCATTTTCACAGATTTTCAGTGAGCAGTTTTCAGAAAGGGTACAGAGTGCCTTTGTATACAACTGCACTAAGATTACCAGACCAAAAAAAAGTTAATATTAAAAGGTTTTTGCAGAGCATTTATGCAGGAAAAAAAAAAAAAGTCAAAACCCCAAACAAATAGTTTCCAAACTGTATTTCTTTCTTTTTTTTTCTTCATTATAATGGTCAGTGGTGGATTATACAAAGAACACAAATGTATTCTTGAAAAACATCAAAGATAAAATCTTCCCTTAGGTATTTTTATGATTTTCTCTGACTGTAAAAGGCTCCTATTGACCCCCACTTGTGTATCTGAAGTAAAATAAAAAAGGAACATGAAACACATCTTGGCTAGGAAGTGAATTTTTATTTAAAAATATATAACATATAACCTGGTGCTATAGTTAAGTACAGATGAATAAGATTTACTTCCTGGAAGGCAGGACATACTTCAATATGTTGATAATTAGAAAAAGCCAGTGCTGCAACATTGCTACAACTTAAAACAATATATATATATATTTATATATCGTCTCTGCCCTCACCTGAAACTAAAGTGACCTATTGTTTTTAAAAACTAAATGTTTACATTTAAATTGATTAAGGCTAACTTTATCTTATCTATTAATTAGACATTAGAGTAACATCAATAATATTTTGGCATATAAATAGTAACACTAATATTTCACTGTCATGTGATAGTGGCTTCAATCACCAACTTTGTCACCTACGAAACCATCCTGTTTAAGGCCATGGATGTGAACTCGACCAGCCGAACTAGACCTTAAACAAGAACAAGTTTCAATATGCTTCAGCTTATAGACTTGTGCAAATAACAGGTATGTTCTGTAAAATATAGGAAAACAGGTCTGCGCTTTGCAGGAACATTGTCTAAGAACAAGTCACAGTGTTGTTTGATCTCTTTGCCTTCTTTAGAATGTCACATTTCTTGCGATTGGGGCGCCTACAGCGCTCGTCAATGCTTGGCA